CTCCCTCCCTCCCTCCCTCCCTCCCTCCATCCCTCACTTCCTTCTTTCCTTTTTCAGTGCTAGGTGCTCCTTCAGAGAACCTTCCCCCAATCTGTGTCTTTGTTGTGTCCCAAGTAGGGCGAATATGAAATCTAAAGTATCATCAGTTCTCAGTAAATCATCAACCAACCAACCAACAAACAACTAACCAAACAACAACAAACACCTCCCATATTTTACAGACTGCATTCCAGTTAATACATGCCAGAATGACCTCTCCACTTTCTGCAGCAAAATGCACGTTGATGATTTGCATTTTGCTCGTCATCCTTCAAGCTGCCTTTTTTTCATCACCTATCAGGCAGTATTCCTCCAAGATTATTGTTGGGTTTAGCTTGTTGCTCTAAATGCAGTAGCTTGTCATTTGGGATATTAGGTTCCATTTGTAAAGTTCAGTGGATTTCTGTCCTTTATCAGCAAAATTTTGTGGTCTTATCCTATGTTGCCACTCAGTAACATTCACAAGTGTTAGGAGCATATTCAGAGAATCATGGCATAATTTAGGTGGGAAGGGACCTCTGGCTGTCCCATCTGCTCAGAGCTGGGCCAACTTCAATGTTAGGTCATAGTGGTGGTCATTCAAGTTCTGAATACCTCCAAGGAAATACATTCCTTCTGACAAATTCTTAATTAAAACATTTGAGTAGAATTAGACTCGGCTTCTGTGCATAACTTCGCAGGAAATGCTCTCCCAGATTGCAGGAAGCAGCATCGCTTCCTAACCTGTTACAAATCTTCTCCACGTGGATAAACTGCCAGGCTTAGGAGCTCGGGAGTCCTGGATATGAGGCCTAGTGGGCTTTGACAGCAGGGCTGGGCACTCTCAGAGCCCCATGTTTACAAGCTGGGAAACGCTCATGATGAGTCTAAGCTCTGCTCAGAGTCGATGACCGGCAACATTTTTGTGCTCAGTACCAAAGTACAAGGCTCTGTTTCTTTTCTCTCTGGTGCACTTTGCTCTCTTGCAGCCCCTGAGTAATGCCTCTGTTAGATAAACGCCACACTGCCATACTGCCCCTCCATGTCTGATGGTCCAAATGGAGCGCAGCCTGCTGCTCTCAGGCACTGACTCCCATGCTTCTGCAGCTCAGGACCGTGTCAACAGCTTTTTAACAGTGTTTGCCATAGTTTTTCTCTTCTCCCTTCAGCTATCACTAGTTGACATCCCAACTGTGATTTCTTCCCCTATGCTACAGTGACCCCATCTGAATTCACTCCCCAGTCATTAAACTGCACAAGTGTTTTTTTTTCTGTTATATCAATAAGAAAAAAAAAAAGGAAAAAAAAAAGCAGAAAGGCTGTTTCCTTTCCTATATTTTCTAATGCTTTAAAGACTCCTCAGCGACTCCTCAGAAGTAGTGCTGGAAGCAAAATGATCACATGCTTTTCTTTCCATTCCTTTGTCTTTCCTTTATGCCAGAAAATGGGCAGAAAGAAGGGATGCATGCCTGCATACACATGTGTTTTGTGTGGTCTTACACCCGGAACATATGGCTCTATTGTCTTGTTTCCAGATGAACAATAATTTAGTGGGACCAAAACAAATTTTGCCAACCCAAATCATTAAGAGAGAATTTTCATTTGGGCTACCTAAAAAAACCTCCAAGTCTGAATATACTGATCATTAAGGAAGTAACCTGTTTACAAGATCCAATCACTGCAAATCTCCAGCAG